ACCCCGTAAAATAAAAGATTAATAAAAAAAAACCAAAAACCGCTTTTTAAATTTAGGAAAAAATACGGACGAAGAAAGGTGACAAACAACGTGTGAAATATGAGCAAAACAGTACTACTCATGTAGGTTCCGGGTTGTCTGTTTATTGATATTTTAAAATATCAGATGCGAGTCACAATGTGAGAAGCTTTTTGTCGAGTGAGCGCAGCGAACGAGTCCAAACAGACTTCAAATTGTGTCGAGCAGCTGATATCTTACAAAATAAATATGATGAAAATTTGAAAATCGATTTATCGGATTTATTTGTGTATTTTGCATGATAAAAACTTTACAAGTGTTTTTCTTTGTATCACCAGCAAACCAGAAGATGACTTGATAAGTTCGAGTCAAACCTATCAACGTTGGTTCATTCATTATGACGTCGGTGATATGTCCAGGTCAAAGTTATTCAGGACATTACTAAATCATAAAACTATTTTTGAGAAAAAAAGATCACGGACTTGTAACTTTTCGATGTAATAGTTTTTGTTTTGTTTTTTGTTTTAGTTGTTTGTGTTTGTTGGTTTTACAAACATTGATTCTAAAGTACTGTTTTTTTTTCTAACCAGCTGCAGTAAGGTTTTGTGCTTTCTGAATTTAAACAAAAAGAACCAAGAACGTATGTTAGATATGAACCACAGTGACTGATCTTGGAAACTTTGCATCATAAAGTGGCTCTAAAAGTTGAGTTTTACTCTTTTATTGGACATTTTTACTCACCATTTTGGCAAATCAGAAGAACTCCAAATAAAGATAGTAGTAAGTTTAATGACATTGTTATTGCTTTAACATCTAGGCCGTACAATTGATAGGTCAAGAGATAAGTTAAGCGATAAATGTTGGTCGGGACCTATTTATAAAATCGTCCAAAAACCAAGGTCGTTATATAAGCTTACACAGACGGAGACATATAAGTATCACGTTATGTAAAAATACACCATGTTTTTTTTTCTCTTTTAATGTAACTACAAATACTAATTTTTTTTATTTCTATGTTCCTTTATGCCTGTTTTGTTAGTACATTGATCAACATTAAAAGGGGGACCAGGATTCAGATAAAAAAGTTAATGCCGTGTCTGTCCCAATTCAGGAACCTCGTCAGTGATTGGCTTATGTCCTATCTTAATGTTTTTTGTTTTTTGTTTTTTATTTTGAATGTGATGATGAAGACAGATCTCTGATTGTTTCAGTTAAGATTTTCAACATTTGTTATAAACTTGAGATGATTTATAGAGCTGGACGTATTATAGACACCAGTCTTGTCTATTGTTGAAGATAGTATAATGCCCTCTAGATGTCATTTTGTTATTTCTGTCGTTGGGTTGCTGTATCATTAACGTATCACCTACATTTTTTTTTTTCATAACCAATACTTCGGCAGAATTTTTTTTTCAATGTCTCGAAAATAAGAAAATATGTGTAATGAATGTAAAAAATGCATATGTATTCTATTACCGTAAACAACGGTGTATTTCAAAGTTTACATTTCGTAACACGAAATAACATGAAAGTGCTGTTTAGAGGCCAAAACAGTGTCATCATCTTAAGGTTATGATATTATATTCTTACAGCTACGTTATGTAATTTGTTTTTATTCTGGAATGTGTGTGTTTCATGCACCGATGCAATGTACGTGTTATATATAAGTAGTAAAGAATTTTAAGGTCGTTTCGAACTTTGAAGCGATACGGCAGCTTCCGCTACGTGTATTCCTTACATCCGTGTGCTTCAATGCTTAGATGTTATGCTGTTTGTCGACATCTTGCAAAGAATGTCCGCTCAATTTGATGCAAGAACTTGTAATCAGGTGTAAGCTTATGCACCGTGTTGAAGGCCTCAATGTGACTTTCAGATGAAAAACAGCAATTAAAATGCATTATTTTTCTTTAGTATTGTCAAAAGGGTGTAGGGATTTTAGGTCACAAATTAATACAGCATAGTATGCCTTCTTTTCCATTTCAGAATTCAAAATAAGTAACACTTTTATGACCCCCAATTCTATCTAATTTCAAATAAAATTTCAAGTTATATTATCATGAAACATCATAGTTAAAACAATGTCTGAATAGGAAATTGGTCTCTTTTTTATTACGTTCTAATTAGCATAAAGTTCAATTTTCTACCAAATTCAATGAAAACAGACCAATTTTCATTGGTTTTAGGAGTGAAACCTCTAGCGCACGCGTCGACAAAAATATCCATCATAAAAAGCAAATTGACTTAAATGTTAATCGTTTTTGTTTCATAGAAAATGTTCGGATAATTTCAGAGAAGTTAGCATTTTGATGTTTTTAGCCATAATTGATTGTGACAATCATGAAATGCATTATATATATGCTCGTGACGGGAAATGAATCATAATTGAAACAGTTTCCGTTCACAATTTGTGATTTACTTTCTTTACGAACTAGGAAAAAAATCAATTTTGTTCGTTTCTATATTCCGGATTTTCAAAATATATTTGAATTATGGAGGGGTTCTGATTAATTCTAAATCGATTTTAGAGTGCGCTTACTTGATAAGAACAGAAATTAAGGCTTGTTTTGTTTTGTTTTTTTTTTTTTTAATTAACCACCACATCATCATCTTAACTTAAAGTCTCTATATTATCCATTGTCCTTGTTTTCGTATTTTAATAATTTCGTTTTCTTTTCATATCCTCAAAACAGCGAAACACTTTAGATTATTGATGAATCATGAAATGTTCAAAAAGAGCTGATTATATAAAATTGATACAATCTTGAATGAAAGTTGCTATAAAATTTTCAAATCCCTATTTATCAAGAAAGAAAAAAGGAACTGGTGCAATGGGTTTGAGCATATATCTCCTTTTCATCTACGGAAGTCGTTACTGTATAGCAAAGGCACAACAAACATATTCTACTGGAAAGGTGTTGTCATGGTAAAAAAATATATATAATCTTTATGGTTAATGGGTGGATATCTTAATTGTTTTGATATATTTAGCAGTTAGCGATATGAGGGAAGAGACATGACACACTATGTGGTGCTATACAAAGAAGAGAACAGAATGGATTTCCATCGATCTTATCCCATCGCGAGCAATAATGTATTACCTGATTTGTCATGAGCAATATAATGTGTAACCTGATTTCTTACCTACCTTTTCTGTTAGCTATAAAACCATGTTTGACCAAACATTTTTCTTCCGAAATGCCTGTACCCAGTAAGGGATATGACAGTTGTTTTTCAAAGACTCAAATTTGGCTATGTGTCGCCTTTTTGTATTAATTTTTCTTAAAACTTACTGTTTTTTCGTTATCTTTGTGCGCAGTATTTATGAAAACTTATTATTTTGACAAACACATATATTTTTTTAAAATTTGTTTCGACATTTGATAATACAACGAACTTTTTCACATATTTTTAAGTCGAATTGAATTTTATTTCCTTCGTGATTTGACACCAGACCCACCTTCGAGTACTAGAACACTCGACAGAAGTTCCCTATTCTTCCTCTACTGTTTAAGCATTAATATGCACATAAGAAATTCTTGGCGTTTCTTACATTGAAATCCTTTATTACAGAATCTGGAGACCTGTACATGTAGACCTGGCAAATATATATTTTATTGCGAATTTTGCATTAGGTTCGGCACAAAAATTAAAGGATTACTAGTATTAATATTTGTCATAATTCATATTTTGCAGTATCAAAAGGCAGGGAAAATGTTTTATTCGTAGTGATGGGGATTTTCGCCTACAATTTTGGAATTATAATAAAGCATATTTTCCTGTATCCGGTAAGTCATAGGTACTTACCCAAAATATGGCCTCTCTTTTTAAAATCTGCTACTACAGCGGGCATTCGTTAAACAAGAACTTTTATCAGAAGCAGAATAATATTGCACACATTGATATTAAACCGAAAAAACTGTTAAGTTCTAGTAAGTATATATTCAGTCTAAACTACTACAAGTGTACCTATAACTGAATCGGGAGGGATCAATGTAAGCTGTCAGAGATGCAATATTAGAATTCCTACTTTAATGACATTGTAATTTCATTGATTTATTCAGTGACTCTATACTTGAACTTCAAAATAAAATCTGCACACTAAAACTAAAACAAATATCGAATGTTAAATACAAAGAATAGAAATTAATTATAAAACCGTTAGGTAGTTAATGTTTGCCTTTAACAGAGAATACTGTTGTTATATCCACTGCTAAAATATCTGACTGTCTGTAACAAAATATTGATTTGTGAAAACATTCAACCGTTACCGCTCAAAGAAATAACTTATACTTTTTATCTGAAGTTTCAAGGACACTTTTTATTTATCAATTTAGCATATTTTTTTTCTTTCCTGGAGAAAATCGTGCATATTTGACAAAGAAGTATAAAAATCAGCATCCGTTTGAAAGGGCAACACATGGCGAATTTAAAGTTGTCGATTCCTGTTTCTAAAAACAGACATTTATAAATATTTTTTCTAATTAGAATAATACGTATTGAATTAAATAATGCTCTTCTCGAACGGTGCTCCTTAAAATAATATGGTTTGCTGTTGTTTTTTTATTTACCTGATGTTTAATGGTCTATTTTTTACCGTACCCCCTTCCTTGTACAGAAGTAGTGGTATACAGTTTCCACGTATGTTTGTCTGTTTTGCTCCTGGTAAAGGTTGGTTTTATAATAAGAAGTAATGATTAGTGTAGATACATCCGAATGTAAAGAATGCAAAACATTGGTCATGGTGGTTGCACGTGGGTTGTTGACCATAGGCGGCTTGCACAAAGGTTAATCTATTTTTTTTAAGTTTAACGAAATCATGATCTCAGGTTAATATGTTAGATATTCATGTCATAAACAATGGAGACTAAAGTATAATGATCAAACAGGGAATTACCTTATTCAACTGTTTTTGATACAATAATAGTAGTTAAATCTAAGGCCATTGTGTTGTATAAAAATCAAAGAACTGGTATATTGTCCTGGTGATATTTATTTGTCTATGATATGACCTAGATTAATTTCATTTGTATGTGATAACAATACAGTAAACAATTATATCAGGTGGCAAAATCTTGTTATAAAAATAGAGAAGTACTGCGGCTGTCAACTTTCTACGTGTAATAACTTGAGTACTAGTATATATGCCATTTCCACAATTTATTAATTCTTTTCTTATTTAGTACTGTGGATTCATTTATCTTTCGTTGGTACAATCTTCGTGGGTTAAGGAAAAATGGTATTTTCCTGGATATTTGATTTCGTGGTTTTCCAAAAGTCTGCAAGCCTATAGAAAATCTGTAATTCGTTGAACATTTAAATTCATAGATCAACTGTATCCACGAAATCCACGAAAAATGATATTCCTCGAATAATGATGTGTTTGAATCGATAGTTGTATGTTCTTATGACTGGGGGTCGATCATATACAAGATATCTAGAGAGTTATTTGAGAAAGAAACATTTGGGGAAATTTTACACGACTCCATTACATTGTAGATAGAAAGGATATGAAACAGCTGGAATCCGGAATATTTTCGACCATGTTGTTGCTTCAATAATAATGATCATTTATCCTGGACAAGAGAATATAACTGGGAGAATAAAAAACAAATATAGTTGAAAGGTATCCCTGATTCATTGCTGAAATATAAACTTTTATAGGTCTACTTTGTTAGGTCAAATTCGGAGAATAGAGGACGAGTTTGTGGTAACGACAATTGCAACACATCCGTCGTCATCTGTGAAACAGATATTCCATAACGGTCAACCAACTCGCGATGGAGTCTGTAAAATTTTCGAAGGGATTATTTCAACTTCACCACTTAGAACTCTTGGTTAAATAGCTTCCTTGTAAGCAGCAATCCACTATCAAGGAAATTATAATATGAGATCCAAGCTCTGGGAGATATATACTCTGTATGCAGTCGCTGCTGGAATGTTGCTATATTGAAATGGAAAGCTCACAATTCGGAAGCTGAAATCATCTCTTTTGTCGCAAAATTTTGTTCCCAACCGACCCTCATTGTCAATTTCTAGATGTAAGTCAAGTTATGACGCAGACTAAACTATATATGTTGTATCCTTTATTTCAAGTTCGATATAATTGCCGGATGCGTTCAACATAGTCACCAAACTTTGAATTATTCAGTGAGTGGACATCGTCTACATAGCGGAACGTGAAGTTAAAGGATAATGTTGGCTTCTTTTTATTCTTCCTTCGAATCTCCTGTATGAAGTCTGCCTAAGATGAATAAAGGAACAAATCGGTTAGAAAGGGAGCACAGTTGGAACCCTTGGGAACTTCGATTGTTTGTTGTAAAACACGTCCTCCGAAAGACTATCAATTTGGTTTTGAACTACATGTAGCTTGAAGTAAACTGCAAGTGCTTTTTGTCTTATTTTCTTGTGTGCTTGATAACTATCTAATGAGTTAAGCCCTTTCAAACTCATTATTTTTTTAGATTGTTCTTATGTTGTGTTGTTATATCACTGTCTCTGTATATGGTTTGGTCGGAGAGGGAGGGGTTGAGCTCTCACAAACATGTTTTTTTCTCCCGTGGCCTTTAATAGTGGTCTTTGCTCATTGTTGAAGGCCATACGTTAACCTGTAATTGTTCACATATCTGTTTGTTAAATCATGGAAATTTAATCTCATACGGTACCCCAATTAAACCACATTGGTGAAAATGTCTGAGCTTGAAAAAAACCTCATCATAGTCATTAAAGTTTGCTGCATGAACAATGGACTACAAGAAAATGTTACTGTTATCGCCTACCTGAAATTAATTGCGCATATGGGCTTATACATAATAATTCAAAAAGTCCGCTTTTAACCAGCAGTTAACAATAATATACATAGTAGAAAACAAAGGATATGGTGTATCTATCCATGACACAAAATCAGTACATGCACAGCAAAAAACACACAAAATGCAAAGGAACAGCGCTTTTATTGCTGTTCTTCATCTCAAAGTCATACTGAGGTCTTCAACATGAAGCAAAAAAAACTATCACCTCACTGCAAGTTTAAGACAGCCCTAGCACCTTATAGTCCCATATATAAAGATTTACTCCCAGCTAAGAGTTGGTATTTTTTGTGGCGTCACTTTTGCATTCCCTGTTTTGACAATTACACCGTTTGATTGTTTTCGATATGCTGTTAAATTGAGTTGTGCTATCCCATAAAGTGAAAGAAAGGAATCAACGAAGATGGGTAGGATAACCGATATCAAAATAACCCCACCTATTGCACATATTCCACAAACAGCTTTTCCTGTCGGAGTAACTGGTGTGACGTCCCCGTATCCTACCGTCGTCATGGTTATTATCCCGAGCCACCATGCCTGGGGAATGTTATTTATCTTGGAATTATCCTCAACTAGGTAAATAATGTTTGCGAAGATTAAAATACCTATTCCTAGGTACAAAAGCAGTACCAAGAGATCTCGAAAATTTTGTTTCATTGAAAATTTCAGGACTTGGATTGTACTGAAATTTTGGCAATAACGCACAAGACGAAGTAAGCGTAAGACTTGCAGATGTTCCAATACGTCCTTTATTACTATTTGTTGATGATTCTCGGTTATGGCGTACACAACTATAGTCATATAACCAGCAATAAGGGATATAATGTCTGCTAAATTAATCCAAGACATAAAATATACTTTCAAGCTTGGACAACACAGTAAGCGAAAAAACAGCTCAACTGTGAAAAAAGCAGTTGTAATATATTCAACCGTCATAAATGCCTCATTTTTAATTGTAAGTGTTGGCAGGGAATCAGGTTTAGTAAAATTTCCTTCTACGTCTTTTACTTCAATACGATCATCATAAATTTTTATATGATTACATGGTACCGACAAAAATTGAATTTCTTCTTCTACGTAGTTGTTATAGTCGTCTTGGTAGAATTTTTGCATTTCACAAGGTGTCAGGAACCGTCTGTGCTGTGGCAATGTGTTGATTGACATTGTTATTGCAGATGCTAGAACAAAACTAATTCCAACGAACAGAAATATCTACAAAATAAACAAACGAATTGCTTTGAAAAAGAAATTTGCACAATTTTGTATATTTAAGTGAAATGACAAAGTATTACATTTTTCTGCAAATAATTTCATGTATACATACATGAGCAATTTTAATGCAAGTCACTGTTAATTTTAAATGATTTAAATTAAAAGCCTACTTAATACGTCGATTTTATTAATACAAAAAAAAAGTTTAAATAAGTATAGAACATCATCAGAAAAAAATGTATGGGTCCCGGTAAAGTGAGAAACGGAACAGAAACGAAACAGAGCGAAACGAAACGAAACACGACGAAACGAAACGAAACATGTAAATTGAGAAACGAAACACAACGAAACGAAACAAAATCTGTATTTCAAGGAACGACCTATAAAAAATCTTCCTGACATAGCCGAAGATCAATGTGGGTTTAGAGGGTCCTTTTGATTGATATCATCTAATCGTTTGCTTAAAAATCGTCAAAAAAACAACATTGGTGGTATGTTTATCTTTTTGGACAATTATGCCTCCCCCTTTCCTTAAACTCTGGATCTGTTTCTGCTTTTTTTTTATATATGAATACAAAAGATCTCGTTTAATCCAAAGAGAACGTGTGATTAACGGTTTATTCGAACACACATTACACACTGGGATTAACTTCACTGATTGCCGCACTAGAAAGAACGCATTACATACCAGTTCTATTGTGCTTTGTATTTTTCTGTGCTTTATAGTCCCACACATTGTTATCATTAATAATATTATGATATATTAGTATGTATAACTTTTCATTCGATCACGTCTGTTAATATCATTGTATATGCAATAATCTGCAATAGGTTTTTATCATTTATTGTTTATGAGTTTGTGCCAAGAAAGGTATTTGATTCATGAATGAAACACTTACATGTACGTATCCCAAGTGAAATAACCATAGCCAAAATATGTAAATGGTATGGACACTTTGCCATACATAACTTTAGGTAGTAGGATCCAAATGTTCAAGTTGGATGCATTCACCCTATATGTGGCTACAACATTGTCAAGTCCGACCTGGGACGTCAAAGAGGGGATTGACCACGTTGCGACCTGACGTCTCTTTTGAAAGTACATGTGACCTTTAAAATGTTTAAACCGAGAATCAAATCAGTTTAGAACTGAATAGTTTGCTTAAAAGTGACCTGGTGACCCGAGGCATTTTTCAATCGTGACCTTGTGATCTAAAGTGGTACTGGAGCACAGTCAATTTTCTCCTTTTATTCATACAATATTGTATGTTCGACTCGTCATGTTCTACTTTCTTTTATAAACTTACGGTACCGAATATTGTGTTTTGTTATTCGTTTTGACAGACGCGTGTTACTATGTATAGTATCTACCACATTTTCAAAAGATAAGTTACGAAGTACATACGGCATGTCCATACAGTTGAAGTCGATGGTACCTGTTGTAAGTAGTTTAAAAGGTTTATATGAATTGAACTTGTATTAAACGAGATTATTTCTTGCCTGATTTGCAACAAAATGAAAGAAGAAGAATGTTATCATGGTCATGGACTGCCATAATAAAAAATCTTTGAAACTTAAAAACAAAGAAGAAACGAATAGTACAAACTAGAATATGTTATAGTGACGAATTAGAAATGGACATATTGTGTAGACACCTATATATTGTTGAAATTATACTATAAGTTGCCTTCTAGATGTCCTTAGTTTGTTCTTGTCGTTTGGTTGCTGTCTTATTGACGTGTAACCTACATTTCATACAGTTTTAGTTCCGTTGATTGTACTTTTGAATCGGTGCATGAAAAATCATAACTAAACTGGTTATTGTGTATAGATTAATTGTCTTTCTTTCCCCCAATAATTCTAGGAAGATGAACCAAAGAGAGATGTACACAGACACTTGTTTCTATCAATATATAATACATATGAATAGTCGACCTTCCCATGTGGAGATGTACCTAAATTAAAAATATTAATATGTAAACAGAAAATAATGTTACACTTTTCAATCTTTAACTTCCCCTCCCTCCATTTTTTTTACTGTATCAATTTTAAAGACATGTCGCTTCTAAACAAAATCTGATTGATCTCTAGCTTATCCCCCAAACCTGCTTTGATACAAACTTGAATATGTTCCTCATTAAATTCGATCCCAAAACTTAAAAGGCATACATATCTAAATAGTCGTAATTAATTCCATTGAGCACGAAACTATAATCCAAATCAGATTTTATTTATTTGGATATTCTAAAATACATTTCTTTTTCGGCAGATATTACAAAAAAAATATTATTATCTGGTTTGACTGGGAAACACTGATTTCAGATGTACATTGTACACAAAATATTATAAAATATTTTATGTCCCACCCTTTGAGTGGAAAACATATCATGTTTTAGCATAAAATCGTCTATTTTGGAGTGAAAAAAATGGATGATTTAAATAAATTAGATGTTTTTGATGGTCTTTTGAATTCTGTTGACAGTTTTGACTTTTCTACTCTTTACACTACACCTCCACACAATCTTATCAAACAAAAGTTTTCTTATTTAATTAAATGGTCGTTTGGTAAATCTGAATGTAAATATATTTGCTGCAATTCATTTAAAGCCTGCTTCTTTAATGTGAAAGGTAAATATGCTAGAAATACTTACTGGAGGTGGGATGAGATGATTGAAGCTGTTAATTTCCTCTTGATAATATTTATGTACGTTTTGGCAACAAAGTTTATCGACAGGTTGTAGGTATTTCAATGGGCACGAATTGCGCCCCTTTAATAGCAGACTTGTTTTTGTACTGTTATGAATCATAGTTTATGACCACACTAAGTAAAGACCCGTCAAAATTGCATTTAACTGATAAATCCAACAACACTTACCTTTATCTTGATGATATTTTTTCGTTAAAAAATCAAGAATTTTCTAAATATACTGCCGAAATTTACGACAAAAGGGACGATTTTTCGTTCCCGATTGTTATTTTTCCCTTTTTGGATGGTGATGTTCCATTGGCACCATCTTATGGTGTTTGAATTTCACAACTCGTTCGCTATGCCCGTGTCTGTTGTGACGTTTTAGATTTTAACGAACGTAATCTATGTATTACTGGTAAATATTAAGCCAGGGATTTCGTTACCACAAATTACTTAAAACCTTTACTTAATTCTTCCATAGATATAAAGATTTGGTTTTGAAGTTCAAATGGGATAGCACATCCTAATTTTTATGGAAATGTTGTTTACCGTGCCCGGAAATTTAGAAACGATCCTGGTAAACTTGTCGATCCGTGAAATAAACTTATTCTAAAAGGTTACCAATGCAACACTGTAATTAGATCATTGAAAATTGTTTTCTTGGTATCAATATTGACTTTGTTGTCAGTAAATTAAAAGCAAACTAAATATTATTGCTATATAATTCATATACACATTCATGGATCTACAATCTGTCGATACCTGTATCTTGGCATTACACACGGTCGTGTTTTTCCTCTGACTGTTTATGACGTCTGTACACTAAATCCATTGGATGTTGGATGTGTACAGATTGATAATTTAGTCTTAGATGCATGATTTTCTTATTACTTGTTAGTGGCTTTGAACTAGCTGTCAGTAACTTCGAGTACTCTCAGATCAGTACTTAGTGTCTTTTTGTTGTTGGGATATACAAGTACCCGCCCACGTCCACTCTGTTTTTGTTAGATGTATGTTATTTGTATCCATCTGATGAGTTAAGCCTTTTTCAACTGATTTTTATAGTTCGTTCTTATGTTGTACTGTTACACCACTGTCCTAGGTTAGGGGGAGGTTGGGATCCCGCTAACATGTTTAACCCCGCCACATTCTGTATGAATGTGCCTGTCCCATGTCAGGAGCCTGTAATTCAGTGGTTGTCAATTGTTGAAGTGTTACATATTTGTTTTTCGTTCATTTTTTGTATATAAATTAGGCCGTTAGTTTTATCGTTTGAATTGTTTTACATTTGTACGTCATTTCGGGGCCTTTTATAGCTGACTATGCGATATGGGCTTTGCTAATTGTTGAAGGCCGTACGGTGACCTATAGTTGTTAATTACTATGTCATTTGGTCACTTGTGGAGAGTTGCCTCATTGGCAATCATATCACATCTTCTTTTTTATTGTCACTACATGTACACTCGGTGATATTTTTAAAATTTTATATGAAATTACACTCCTTTCAAAATCGAGGGTCCGCCCCTAAAGGTAAGAGTACTTTTGAACTGTGCAGTATATCTGAGGTAGTAAATGCAAACCTTTGCTGTGCATTATCCAGATTATAGCACAGTAAGAACAAAGAGATTTTACTCATGTCATGTGTTAAGTATCCATAGGACAGTATGACTCGCTTAAAATATCAAATTTGCATGTTCATTGAATTGCAAATTATGGTTCAAATTCCTATTTTGGCATACATTTCAAAAAGAACATGTCATAATGAACATGTGTTTCAAGTTGACATGAACACAACTCTATTGTGATTTAATCTATCTTAACAAACAGAATAAACCTAGTATTGGACGGACGGACTGACGGACGACAGCACAGACCAGAAAAGATAATGCCCCACTACCGTAGGCGGTACATAAAAATCCTAGTCACAAAGATAAGAATGGCCAATTTTGTATGAGGCTGATATTCAGACGATCCCCAGTAACAGCTATTCTAATTTCAATGTTCCCTCATTGTTGCACGTGACAAGAAGCCTTGATATTAGAACAGGCTCTGTAGCATAGCTGACGCACCTAAGCCTAACATTTAACAAAACAAGTTGACTAATTGCAACTAATGCACGAAGATACCAATGTAAATGACGAGTAATTTTTTCAAAGTTGAATGGAATGTTCGGTGTCTTCGGCTATGCACATATCTCGTCAGGAAGATTTTCTATATGTCGTTCCTCAAAATACAGATTTTGTTTCGTTTCGTAGTGTTTCGTCTCTCAATTTACATGTTTCGTTTCGTTTCGTCGTGTTTCGTTTCGTTTCGCTGTGTTTCGTTTCGTTTCGCCATGTTTCGTTTCGTTTCGCTCTGTTTCGTTCCTGTTCCGTTTCTCACTTTACCGGGACCCAAAATGTACGCGTTAATTTTTAATTTACAATACCTGTTTATCAATTGTCAATAATAGCAACCTCATTTTAGAGTTATGTGTTTTTTTCTGAACTGATTTTTATTGCATGTACTTCTTTTTATAATAACCAACAAGTCGAAATAAATAGGGAAAGGTTTATGTGCTATATTCATTCATGTACACAGGCAAATTCCACTCGCATCAATTTCACGTGAATTTGAATTCATGTGAATCTCACGTGAAATTCACGTAAATTTCACATCAAACGAGCTTATACGTGAAACTCATGTGAATTTCACGTGAAAATCACATGAATTTTTTTCACACGAAAATCACGTGAATTTTTAAAATAAAGCAGTTCAAAAAACATCTAAATTTTCAAATTTAATTAAAACCATGAGGATATCATATTTTTTTTTTTGCGCAAAGAAAAACGTGAAATCCATGTGAAAAAATTCATGTGAATCTCAATTCACGTGAAATTTACATGAAAATTTTCATGTGAATTTCATGTGAGGGCAAGTTTGAGGTGAATCTCACGTGAAATTTTTCACGTGAATTTCATGCGAGATTCATGTGAAATTCATGTGAGATTCATGTGAAATTCATGTGAGATTCGTGTGAAATTCACGTGAGCCAATTTTGCCTGTGTACCAGTTAGAACATCTTATGGGATTTTCTTAAGCTGGGCCTTACAACAACGCGAGATTCGAATTCGTATGTCCATCTGTATCACATAACTCATCTAAAATCCAATATCCCCAGATGCTTCCTACTTGATACCATTGTCACCACTTAAAGTTGACCATTCTGTACCGCAAGTTTGATTTGACAGTTTATATGTTTGCAGATAAAACAGGACTTTGGCTATTTTTGGCCTGTAGAATCATAATGACACCATGCTTACATTACTCCTCTGGGACATTTTCTTCGGAAAGTTTTCATACTTCATAAGATTGTTTTTGATTTTGTGCAGTTGACCAAACGTTTTGATTTGACGCTTTTGCAAGAGGTATGGGACTTAGGCCATTTCTGATACATTGTAGCATAGTAATTTCTTGTGAAAAGAAGGGAAAATATAAAAAGGTGGCAGTCAAAAATGATAAATCGATCAAAGCACCATGACATTGTTAGGTAAATACGAAAACAGACATGATAAATCTATCAAAGCACAATGACATTGTAAGGCAAATACGAAAACAGACATGATAAATCGATCAAAGCACAATGACATTGTAAGGCTAATACGAAAACAGACATGATAAATCGATCAAAGCACCATGACATTGTAAGGCTAATACGAAAACAGACATGAGAAATCGACCAAAGCACCATGACATTGTAAGGCAAATACGAAAACAGACAAACAGCCAGAAAAATAACACAGAGAAAAAAGATTGAGCAACACGAACACCTGTAAAACGGAGGGTGAACTTAATTTAAAGTATGAACTCAGGAGCTTTCCAGTTCCACTATACAAACCCATCTTATTACTAGTGTTAAATCAATTGATGTATCAGAACTGGTGATAAAGTATCATACAACAGCAGATTAGTGAATATCTTTTGTTTAAACCTTAGGTATTTCCAAATTTAGGAAACCTCGGTACATGTGAATTCAGGGGACTCCACTGTACCCTTAGACATGATCGAATCATTGAAATGTAAACACAGGTTTTCATAACTAAGTATAAACAAGAACGCAACCAAGAACACAATATATCTGACTATCATACAAGATAATACTGAAAATAAACCAAAAGCAACATCCTTAAAAAATATAGGCTAACTAATTTGTCACGGGGAATTGGCAGTTCAAGCTCCAATTTGGGCATCCGTCATATTGATAATCAATAGAACAAACTCGTTGACAAGTTACGTTCAGAAAAATCCTCAGTATTAAAGCTATGATAAGTGGGATATAAGTCTGGTTAATTGTGAAACATATATTCAATAACGGCCAACCAAATCATGATGGAGCCCGTTAAAATTTACTTGTAATTAGCAACCCTCTCCCAGGGAAATCATTTAGTAACGTATAATTTGAAAGGTATATTGAACGTTTCTCCTCTGAGACACTATGTTCGAATGCTTCCATATAAATGATATTGTGTATTATAATATGTAATTGACATAATTTATCGCAATTATGATTTGTCCATTTTTGTAGGATTTATTGGAATTTCGCCATTTTATACTTATTGTTGTAAAATTACATCTTTGAACGCGTACCTTTTTAAGACCATCTGTCCGAAATCTTTCATACTTCAGTAGTGAATACTTTGAACAGGAACTATTATATTTAAGATCGTTCATCTGCACCAAATAATAATAACGAATTAAATGAAAGTTCAAAGAACTGAATCTGCTTATATGAAATAATATTTCCCACATTCTAATATCGGTAGTTGTACTTCGAAGATTTTATACAGCAAAGTTATAAAAGTACAGGAATACCCGATCTTGTGCAATTTTGAGAACAACTATACAGATTAAAACCATTCATTATAAAATGGCTGATTTATCCATGAATCCTTCATCTTTTTAATCCCTTTTCATTTTTAATTATTATTATTATTCAAACTCGATGAAATTTCTCAGCTACATCTCGTCTCAAGGCTATCATCCTCTGAAGAGATTGTGTCGAGAATCTACACTCGTTTTCAAAAACATATAAATAATCGTTATTAAATTTTGTCTTACATATATTGTTGCCAACAAACGTCATGCATTTATGGAAGCATAACTATATGTATACACGTGTACATATAAATGTTTATGAAAGCTGTCTCATTATGAAATCCTATAATTAATATCTAAAGGTAAGCTGAACAGCCGTGATCAAAAAAGTATTTTGTAACAACATGTCTAACAAAACATTTTTGTGGTCAGGCAGTTTTTCATATTTAATTTAACCTGTTTTTTTTGTAAAAACACTTACAAACAAACAAAAAAGAAAGAAGAAAAGAGAGATTAACATAGGTTTTTTTTAAATGGACATATGTCTTCACAAAATCTTAAGCTCTACATCGTCCAGACGTTAGAAAAGTTGTGAAGTAATTTAACAGAAACTTTCAGAGATCTGTCATACACAATCAGTCAAATTCCCCCTTAATCTCATAAAAACAGTCAAAACAGCAAATAAAACAAATTGACGAGATTCCTGACCTGGGAAAGGCACATAAACATGATTGTGTAGGGGTTTATGTATTATTTTATCTCAATCCTCAATCCTCCCCTTTGAAATTCTCAATAGCGGAATAATAAAATGTACATACAATGATAGTCCAATCCATCTAAGGTCAGCTTTGCCGGAGGGATTTGAAACCTTAGTTTCTGTATAAATTCTAATTCTAAATTTTTAAAGGACAATTTTTGAAAGGTTTGATATAAATCATGTCCGTACCGAAGTACTGAGTCCTGAGCAGATGATACCATTAGGGACTTATAGTCCACCAGCAGAGGTACATGTATCGACGTAATGCCAAAAAAATGAACACAACACTTTATAAATGTCATGCGTCCAAAGCGCTTAAAAAATTCTAAACTAGCTTCATAATGACTTAATTACCGTAAGTAATTTACCTTCGCTCCTATTGATGTTTCTCTGTTATCTATAATGCTCCATATTTTAGACCGAACTCTTCTTTTGCCATTGTCGTCTCCTATTTCTAATTTGGCTTGCTGCTGCAAAAATTTGGATTTTTTTCCATATCATCCATAAACTGAAGATATCTATAAAGACAGCAGTCCTCTAAATCAGTGTACGAGATGCGCCAAAAGTCAAGTTCTCTTTTAAATGCCTTTGGACAAATAGTTGATGGCATATGGAATTCACCAGTTTGATAGAAATTCAAAACGGCCTGGAAACAATCTAAAGGTCTATCTATCCATATGTCAGAATCTTCTTCGCTAAAACTAGTCTTCATAGCTATACATCCTAGGTATGTCTTGGGTTTCTCGAGTAATAAATCCCTTCTAACTTTAAACGTTAAACCCGAAACATGTATGGTGATTCTATGCTTACTTGCCATATTGTATAGCAACTCAAACTACTTTCTGAACAGAGTGTTGTGGGCTGATATTAGATAAAATCACTAAATCAATGAAGTTAGCGCTCTAATTGTTACATTCCCCCTGTTGAACGTGTAGTTTCGATTCCGGTTAATGATTATCTGTGAAACTGACTTTATATACAACCGTTATTTGAGAATACTCAATGCTTAGCTTAGTTTATAGAAACCTTTAAATGACATGAAACGGGATAGCTGTTCTGGTCCCAGTGAGACAGCCTCTTGTTTAATATGTCATATTGATAATCAATGTATTCATCAACAGACATGGAAGTTATAAAAGACAGTCCTTGTTATTCACCAATTAACGTATAATGGTAATACTTACTGTTTGAATAAGTTAGGATAGTAATTTGAAAACTCAGGTATTGATTATGTGACCAGGTGGTATAAGGCATAGATGAATTGAATGCAGAACGTTCAAATACTTTATTATATACTATAAAGAAGGCAACGACAGATCTGAAATATACAGATAATGACAAATAAATATAACTTTACAAATAAATGCATATGAATATATCATTTTGTAGCAAATAATGTATATTATGTTTAATTACACTATTGCAAATAAATAATAATGCAAAACTAGTTAAATGACAACTCTGAATGTATACAATTTGTTAATTAATGATAATGAAAACTGTTCACTAAAGTAAGTTGACCATACGTCTCAATAAAATACTATACAACATTGAAAGTTTATTACAGGTAAAAAAGAAAATATAAAGTTTGAAATACAATTAGCAAAGTAAATGAAACTAAATAAAATATTTAAGACAAAAACTTTTAACCATAGACCTTTTGAAAAACCCTTAAACTATAAATACCTTATAATGCTGGCTACGGCTCATAGTGTTGTTTCTGGTGTTACTTATTCTGCATTGACAATATAGTTAAAAATTACAGTATATATAGTCAAAAGGTGAACTGTCAAACTGGCCAGAACCAAATAAAACAACAATTAAGAAAAGTAATTTGTCCAATAGCCAGTGGTGAGTAAATATCAAAGAACCTAGATAGAGTATTTGGATTCATTGAACCATATAATACAAAAATATGTTCAATATAGTAAGATCATTATAATATAGAGTAAATAGATATAAACGAAGTACAAAGTTGGGAATAATATCAAATAGATAATTTGTATATAAATGAACTTGTCCACAATAATAAAAACATTGTAGCATAGAAGAAGCCAGGCACATTTAAGTATCATAGCATGTCAAAGAATTCTGGATTAAAAGCTATTGAATGTTTTTCCTTAAGTTATTCTATCTTTCTGCAATCGGAATTCTTTCAAATTAAACTCTATTATCGTACCAAACAACAAGTATGTATGACTTGCTTCCAAAATCGTTACTGATATTGAATTAGTAAAAACACTAGGATGGAATTCAAAACAGATTAGGTGTGCGTACCCAATATGTTGTTGATTTTGACTTGCCGCAATTCTTTATCGTATTTGTCACTGGTTATCAATAACAATGATTTTACGCAAATTTCAAATGTACATGATTAATTATTATTATATATATACTCTTTCCATAAAATAAAAGTGTATTGCAGAGCAGATTATAGGAATTTTCTACAAATATGCTTTATGATATAAAATAACACAAAAAAATTTCTTCGAAAGAATAATAGATGTTCAGTTGTATTAACATCGACCCCCCTCAAAAAAAAGAACTATTTTAACAAAGCTGTAAGTTCTGTGGCTCATTACACAAAATATTTCGAGAAACAAATATTCGTACGTACTTTTTCAACTTGAGAGTAAGTAATCTGCAGTCCATTTTAGTCGTAATATTGTTTTAGAAAAGATCCCAGGGCCTTGATATAAAGACTTTCTTCCTTCAGACTAAATGATATGTTTGTATGGACCAAAAGTTTAAGCTATATGCATTCACACAGAAGACTCCAATGCCACACCAAAATAATTTCTTGTTCTTTGAAGTACTGTCAACAAGAGGAGTGAAATAACGAATGATCAATTTATTTTTGATTTTTTTTTCTCCAAAATTTAGTTTTCAAGAGCCGAAAAAAAAATTATTTTGGCGAGTTACAATGTATTTTTAATAATTAAAAAAAAAATGGAAGGAATTATATTCAAGCGAGCGACATTGTTTAAATTTTGTTTTTGAATTAATGGAAGCGATCAAAAAATATATTTTGCACATTATTTGTGTGTATCTTAGTCCTGAGAATATTTTTTATTGCATCTCGATTCATTTTCTGACACATAAACTTAAAATCAATGTCTACCTCCTTTAAACTTTTGCATATAGATATCAATGCAGTCCTGGATTTACATTAAAAAGTGACAAGTATGGATTTTTATGTTTGTAGGAGCTAATACAGTAATAGTATCAGATCCTGCTACTTGGACATGTACAATTTGATCTGCAATCATATCATCACGCAGTGTTGAAAACTTCTAATACATAAATTGATTGAAACAATGTGAACATACAACCATATAGACATCTCAAACTCATAAGTCTAAAATGAACTGACAATGCCATTGCAAAAAATGGAAAACGACCAAAAGACAAACAACAACAACAACAACAACAACAACAAATTGCGACGACGGACGAACGGACGGACGCCAAGTGATGACAAAAGCTCACATGGCCTTGAAGGTCAGGTGAGCTGAAAATGATGTATTTTACGATAAATTTATTAGAACAAATACTATTGAAGTATTCAATTAATACACGTTTTTATTGATTTTTAAAATTTGTTTATTTACATATATTATAAAAAATAGAAATTGTAAACGCAAAAATGTTTAGCAAACTAAAATCTACAAATAAGCCAAAATAGCAAAACTCGTCATTTGGACCCTTATAGGAGTAATTACCCTCAAAAAATGATTTTTACACACTTTTGCAAGAACCATAATAAATAGAGGGAAACTGTTTATAGCAAAAATGTTCAGCAAAATAAGATCTATTAGACATTAGTAAATCAACAATGCCAAATCGTCAATTGACCTCTTGACAGGTGATTTTGCTTATTTTTACAGAAACCATAATAGATAGAGAGAAACTGTAGAAAGCAAACATGTTAGTTTTATTCCTTCCTGAATAATTATTTTGGTATAGAACCACTAATTCAGGCCCGGTCGAAAGTAGTACATATTTAAAACAAAATAGTTCCTACGCATAGCTGTATCTTTGTCAATAGGTGAAATATTTGGATAGTTTTGGTATTAAATGAAAGCTTAGGGACTTGTGATCACTGTAAAACCCTTGTTGAAGTTTCTTTTGAATAATAAAAAAGTACATAAAGTTATAAGAGGAGGGCATATTTGCTGCTGTTTGCCTTTTGTTCAGATCGGAAGTACCTGTGTGTGTACTGTCAAACTTCCGGGAACCAGTACGCCCTAATATGCAATCAAAAGTATGTTGAATTTTTCAGCACAAGTCAGGGTAAGGTATAGTTTTGAAAGGAAACGAGTGCCACTTTATTTGAACTTCAGACAAAGTAGAAATTAATGCTTGAAATTGCAGAATTTAGCATAGAAAGCAATGGGGCTATGCATTAGTGGTTTTATACCTTTTACCTATTTTATGTATTTTTGTAAAAATCATAATAGATAGGAAGCAACACTTTATAGCTAAATGTTCAGAAAAATAATATCTACAGATCAGTCAACATATTTGAAATCATCTATTACCCCTAGAGGAGTTGTTTCCCTTGTAAAATGATTTCTACCCATTTTATATAGTGTGGTTTTTTTTTCAGAAACTATAATAGATAAAAAGAAACAATAAATAACAAAAATGTTCAGCACAATAAGTCAACATGACCGAAATTGTCAACCAACTCCTTATAATAAGAGTTATATTTCATGAATGATGATTTTTAAGCTTTTTTGCATTTTTTTCAAAAGAAGAGAGTAGATAGAGAGAAAAAATCAAAATAAGATCTAAGAATAAGTCAACATGGCCAAATTGTCATTTTCATTATAGGATTTAGTTTTATATAGGATTTATTGCCCTTAAATAACAAATTTCTTTTATTTTTTTTATAATTTTGCCAAATACCTCGAAAACTTTAATCGATAAATATGAATTGTAAACAGTAAAAATAATCTTCAATACAAGATCTAAGAAAAATATCACTAAATAAGTTTTACATTTAAGCAAACATAACTGATTAAAGTACATTAATGGCATATTTTTACCAGGTAAGCGATTTAGTCTATTAGGAGCCTCTTGTTAATAAATATTACATCCAATAAACATATTCACTTGCATCGTCATCATGACGTACACTGAAAAGAGGTAACAGCAGAGTAGACGTCTTCATTATTTTGAGTTTCGTATAAAATAATATAAAAAAAGAAACATTTACCAGGAAGGGTCCTTTTTATATCAATATAAAAAAGAAGATGTGGTATGATTGCCAATGAGACAGCTCTCCACAGGAGACCAAATGTCACAGAAATGAACAACTATAGGTCACCGTACGGCCTTCAACAATGAGCAAAGCCCATACCGCATAGTCAGCTATAAAAGGCCCCTAAATGATAAATGTAAAACAATTCAAACGAGAAAACTAACGGCCTAATGTATGTACAAAATAATGAACCGAAACAAATATGTAACACAGCAACAAACGACAACCACTGAATTACAGGCTCCTGACTTGGTTATTTCTAAATTTCATTATTTTTTCTCATTAAATTGCACCCAAATATACTGTCTAGAGATGATTTCTTTCTATATTTTGACCCTAAAGAACAAAGTCTTCGTGTACATGTTTATCCGAAGTAAAAGTGACTTTTCCCTGTCTTCACAAGCTTTTAATGGATTTGTTTATTGGTGTAATTGTTTATTTATCTTATCTAATTAAACTACGTGGGAACCCAAAATCAGGTGATTGTTTCTTCTCAGATATAAGGTATATAAAACAGTGGGTCATTACCCGATGGTCATTACCCGTTTCGACAATTTTTTTGACGAGCAATAACAATGTTGTGTGGTTTTCTTGCTTTAGTTGTTATTCCAACATTTGTCATTGCATGCTGTCCACCAAAGCAATGGGAAGGTATTGAATATACTGCTCTTGGTTCTACTGGTGCTGATGGAAAATCACATTATACAGAGGTTGGACATGTCTTTAATTCTAAAACTATTCTTACAAAATGGCTTGAGTGTGTCAGACATACACGTCTTATAAAAAATAAGAAGATCAGGTCCGATTGTCTTTTAAACTTTACTGTATTTAGGGTAGAGAATAAAATATTATTTATAATCTATCTTTTAAAATTATTTTAATATATCTACTACATTTTCCGTTAATTTTTCAACGGTAAATGAGGAAAAGGTCGTTGGATTATGACTTGATGACTTTTCTTTTCAATTAGGATTACATTTATATTTTTTATCAATCATTGGGGGGGGGGGGGGGGGGGGGGGGCTATTTCATAAGTCTTCTTATTCTATTATAGAATTTTGTATTATGCTTGGTTTCAGATAGAACAGAAGGTATCAGTCGACACGGACCGAAGAATGGTTTATGTGGCACAATCTATGGTTATAGATGGAGCAAATGTAATGCAAACCGTCCTTCAGAATTACAACACGGTAAGAACTATATGTATATACTTTTGTTAATTGTACAAAGCTTTTTTTTGCATTCAATTAAATAATGTGAAATGCCGTATTTCCTCAAGTTAATAGCAGACTGAGTATATAAAAGAGGTTAAAGTTAAATCAAATTAACAAGTGACTCGAATGTATAAACCATCAATTCAAAGATGTAGGGCCTATTTCGCTTGTATTGATTTCTTAACCACGGTCATCTGTTAAAAGTCTTAAAATTAACAGTTTCATAGCTTCCTAGTCCAAATAATTATGACGTCTTGAAAGGCTCTTTCAATTTTTTCTCACAGAAAAAAAAACAACTACAATAGCCTTTCAAGACGTCATTTGCTTTATCTTATATAACACTGTAAAAAAAAAAGAAAGAAATAACCTTTGATTTATTTTTAATGTGCAATTATTGTAAATTTTTGAATGTATATTATTTACAATTTTTTGTATTCAGATTCCAGTGTAATTTAAAACAACTTTAAGATTTTGACCCTACGTGTGCTAGAAATTCAGAGAAAATTAGCTCTAGTCCAAATAATTATGACGCCTTGAATTGCTCTTTCATTTTTTTTTCTGTGAAGCCCCCCTACTAGACGAAGGCGTCACAGAAAATAATACAATAGCCTTTCAAGACGTCATATTTATTTGGACTAAATTAGCCCTAGATTTTTTTCAGCTTGTCAGACATTTATGTTTAATATGAAAAGTTATTTTAAATTATATATATAAATTTTCAGGCGACTCAATATATAACACGGAACGGAAACTGTGAAAAGATGGGTGTGACTTCAGTAGAACCTGGCTGTGTCCCACGTATGTAGTGTAATAATACTTTATTATTTGATTAAATATCATGTATATAACATTTTCCAAAACATGAGTTATACCGGTTGAATGGTTTGAACTGGTTCAGTTTTTGCAGCAAATGAAAAATGCCCTTTACATGAATTCCCTTGTATTAAGAATGCACAGACCCACAAGTTTGGGAATATTAAGATGTAAAATACATTGTAGGGCTATGTATCAGAAGGAATATAAAGGAATAGCAAAAATCTAAAGCCAACTTTACCGAAGATACAGCGTCAGTGTTCTCTAAAACTACGTGAACTTATGGCCCATTAATCAGTTCCGTGTTTTCCTCTTTTGGAATATTTTATATAGAGAATATCATATGTTTTTTTCAATATCACATCTGTATCAACCCGAGACACCAATGTAATCACAAGAGCTCTGCTCGAGGGATTATATTGGTTGACGGTTGATACGGTGTGTGATATTGAAAAAGCCATATCATATACAAATATGTTTTTATGTGACATGACGTCATACAGAGTAGGGTGTGATAAAGCCTTTGCAACCGTGACTGATATCGATATTATCACGGGAAGCTGATACAGCACGATTGCCGTTTGAACGTATTACACATACAAATTATCTGTATTTACTACTAAGTATATATTATGACGCGGAATTAGGGTCATAAATATCGAATTTAGCATATGCTTATTTCATTTCAGCATATGCTATATTATAATTTAGCATATGCTAAAATCATTTAGGGTATACTTAATTCATTTTAGGATATGCTAAATTCAATTCAGCATATGCTGAATTATTAAGCTTATACAGAAATGTTGGCGCGGAATCAAGGTCATAATTATTCTACAAATCTATTTCAGCATACGCTTAACTCATTTCAGCATATGCTAAATTCATTTAAGCATATCCTTAATTCAATAAAGTATTAGTAGTTAGCTAAGAATGTATCATTTATGATAAGGCCAACGTTATGTTTTTCTCTATTCATTTAGATTGATCTGAAATTAAAAACAAACACAGAATATTTCTTATGGAAATCAATAAACTGTGATTATTAAAATACACAGAAGTCGTGTGCTCACCGCATTAACTTTTATTTTCATGCTTAGTACCAATCTAATGAGTCAATGAGTCAAGTTATTTTCTATCTAGTTTTCGCTGACTGTTACAGTTTGTTTTTAGATGGTATAGCAACTTAAAATTATACGGTTGTAGATGGGGGTTGAGCACTCTACTCACTGTTTATGGTCAAATGTTTTGCTCTTTGTTGAAGGCCGTACGTTGACATATAACTGTTCACATCTTTGTCCTTTTGTTTTTTTATGAATATTGTCGCTTTGTCAATCATACTACATGTACATCTCCTTATTTTAATTTTATTCTTTACGGATGTATAGTTTTCTAGATAAAACGAAGAACAAGATTTTAAAAAACCGCATTACAACCTGTATCATATAACATTATAATTTTAACATGCATAGTATATGAGGTGTGTTTTTGTGTGTTATTCTTCCAGACACACGGCCTTTTATTATTCAGAAAATGCAACCGTAGTATTGAAGTCGTACATGGGTGCTGGAAATTCTTATTGTCTTTTATTATTCAGAAAATGCTACCGCAGTATTGAAGTCGTACATGGGTGCTGGAAATTCTAAGATTATGACAACAGTTTACAAATATGTGACTGACATGTCCACCTCTTATATAACAATGGCTGATGACGGTTGCATACCAATGGCATATGAAGCATCGGGTCAGAATGCTGATGGAGGTAAATATATATTTACTTTTAACGTCTTGAATTCAGCGTTTCAATTATTTGTTATATTTGTAAACAAAAGATACGGACTTCACTGCACACGAATAATCTTCATCGGACAATTAGATGCATGTGGTTCGAGAATCAAAATATACACACATATTCTTTTTTTATATCTTGAAAAGTTTTTGGACACTGAAAACCAAATTAAAACAGGACATCACTTAAACAACCAATCTAGCTAAGGTAATTCAGGTCTTAATAGTGATTTTCTACTGTAGTAAAGGTATACTATGTAAAACTGTCCCTGTACATTCCCTTCAGGTTCTCGAAATGACTTAATTAAATTGACATTCAAGTATGAATCAACTCAAAAAGAAAGTTAAGAAAACAATTGTAATAAGCCAACAGGAATGCAGCACAAAACGTATTCAACATAACTAAAATAAAAGAGAGGCAAAGGATATATACCAAAGGGATAGTCAAACTCGAAAACAAATTGACAATGCCATGATGGCAAAAAATAATAAAAACGACTAACAACAGTATACAAAACAAAACATAGAAAACTAGACTGAGCAATACGAACAGCACCAAAAACCGGGGGTGACCGCAGGTGCTCCGGAAGGGTGTGTAAATACTGCTCCACATGCCACACAAGATATAAGACATAAGCAAAATACCATAAACCTAAATGATAATCTATATGTACATTTCAGGTGGATACCAAATGACAGTTGAATTTTTTGGAATAACACCAGGCATTGCAGATACGTCGGTCTTCAATGAACCAGCTCAGTGTGTAAGCATTCTTTTCGTTTTTCCTTTTAAAGAAACTATTATGATAACCTCTATGCTTATTGCATAAAATTATTTTCTTTATCATTTCAATGATATACATATTTTCCTGCCACCATCAAAGTGACGAGTAACTATGCTGATTACACTCGCATTAAACAGCCCAAAACAGAAATATCAACCACATGAAAATTAAAACTTGAAACAATATTTTATGATGATGCATCAACAAGACACTTATATTGATACTACATGTTCACATGGCTTTCCATTTCTGTTTTTATTGTAACATTCGTTAGAACACAACCACAGATTTATTCTCAATGCTAAAAATATTCAGTTTTGTTCATTTATATCATTTTTGGGATATTATCTACATTATAATAATTGTGTTTTATGACTTTTAATCGTTTTTCTTTTACAGGGTGCAAATGTACCTGCATTTGCTGGAATTGGAGTTGGAAGACGATAAATAATTTATCATTTGTTTGCTTTTTTACTTTTTGTACAATAAAATCTTTTACCATTTTAAATGTTTGAATTATTTAGAAGGAAACTATCAATATACCAATTGATTAAACGTTCACTTGATAGTTAAACGTTTATCAATAGATATTTTATTTATACACAGGACACGAACAAGTCCAACAATTTAGTAATTATTCAAAAGCAAGAAAGAAATTGTTAATAAATGGGTTAAGACAGTTACTTACTACTGGAAAAGAAAGGACAGTTATGTAGGAAGCCGAAACAAGACACATATCCCTTTTTTTTTTTAAATTAGCGTTCTTTTTTGCCTATTCATTAAGGATAAGAAAAATAAAACCAGATAAACTGTGAGCAGAGCTGATAAAAATACACTCACGGTCCTTTATTTGTATTGATATGGCAGAGTTTACTGTGCCTTTCATTGAAATTCAGCCGCTGGTATAAAATGATCTAAGGATATAAAAAGGGACGAATAAACCAATGGGTAATCCAAAACTTGGGTCGAAGAAAAACAACAGACAGTATCATGGCAAAAAAAACCTACAAAAAGCACACAAAACACAAGATTTAGCAAAGGGATGTTGAATGTGACATACCCATCCAGGCTTATCACCGGGTTGCACTTAAATGAACAACACGACGGGTGCCACATGTGGAGCAGGATATGCTTACCCCTTCTATAGTATCTGAGATCACCCCCAAACTAGTTTTGGGGGGCATTCGTGTTGCTCAGTCCTTAGTTTTCTATTTTGTGTTTTGTGAGCAGTTGTTTGTCTGTTTGTCTTTTTCTTTTGTAGCCATGGCATAATTTGTCAGTTTAATATTTCCGACTTATGAGTTTGAATGTCCCTTTGGTATAGTTCGTCACTCTCTTAAATGTCTTAACACAATAACTCGTAAAAAGACGCACCATATATGTAAAAAACATTCCAAATCTTCATGCAATTGAAATAAACAGTGATATGTCTTGTCCTTTTGCTATTTTGCTAGTAAATATTTAAATTAAAATACAATACTTTAACATGTAAGTTATGCAAATTATTCAAAGCCAATGAACCGTGATTGAAGGTACACGACCAAACAATCTCCATGTGAATGAGATGTGCCGATGTTCATAAAACCTGCTTACCAAATATCATTGACTTATCACTAGTGGTTTCCGATAAACTAACATAAATAATCACAAACTAATACATTGTTGGCGCCGCCGCCGCACACGTCGGAAACAGTATACATATATCTCGCTTTTTGACTCCGTCAAGGCGAGACAAAAACGCAGTAGATAAACTTCAAATATAAATTCCCATACTCTTGTTTTACTGTATGAAGTGTTTGAACTAAAGAGCTTGTTTTGTTTTGCACAAAATACAGTTTAGTAGTCTTCAAAAGCTTATGTTTTACTGCTCGAGAATCAGTACTGGGATCCAACTTATGTTCATTATAAATCTTCTAACATGGGTGACCTTAGAGCACCTTTTGCAATGATAACTGTACTTTGCTGATAAAATGTGTCAAAAGGAAAAACTTGCTCAGTTACGAGAATTGGTTGGGTTCACATACGAGAATGTAAATTATTCACTACAAACACAAACACATGTATAAATAATTAATTATATATGGTTTTGTTTTCAATTTATAAACTAATTTGCTTCATTTATTTTACTTTTTAATATATTTTCAGTAACACATTAAAAGGTTCGTAATTTCATTTCATGCAGATTGACGGAATATTAAAAATGGAAACATTCATAGGTGCCACCACTATTCCCATGTACTCTGCCGCCATTTTCATATTTTCTGCAAGTAAAAAGACGCAGTCTTTAAGTTGTTAAAGTATACATGAAACAAAGTTTGTCCTCTATATGAAGCTATTATCGTTTGGGGATTTACTACATTTACACGTCTGTTCATTATATTCTCTAATGATTACTATGTTAATGAACATTACTATAGTTATTAATTTCTGTGTTATTTGGTCTCTTGTGGAGAGTTGTCTCATTGGCAATCATACCACATCTTCTTTTTTATAATTACACCAGACCTACACCAATCTCATTAAAATCGGATTTTTCGAGTTGATTCGTTAGATTTGTTTGTCTCTGACATCTCATTAGGGGTTAGGTTATCTTTTCTGTAAAATTTTAATCAATCAATCATTTTTTGAGTGGAACTTTGTTTGTGAACCCCCCTCCCCCTGAAACATAGATTAAGGCGGTTGTGTCAATATATTTCGCCATTATAATGATAAATTGTTTTTACAAATCACGATTTTAAATCTAAAACATGAATAAAACAACGAAGCTAAACTGTTATGCAAAGTAAGGGAACGTTTGAAATCAGGTCGGTGCATGAAATTGGAATATCACCATGAAATTTTCTTGTTAGAACATCGATTTTCGGACAATTTCGGAATAGTCCGCAGATTACAATACAATATTTTTAATAGTTCATACAAAATACAGAAACTTTGTGTAACCTTAGATTTCATTATAGATGATAAAATATATCTGAACATTACCTTTTAAGGGATTTCTGCAGATCTTAATGAGATTGGAACTACATATACGTTTTTGACTACTTTAGTATTACACCACATCCACTTCTTTTCTTTTCTTTGAAAAGATCAAGATTGATTGGATATTGGTTGCATTCTTTTTAATGTTCAGTGCCAAATATTTCAAGCATATCTATGGGAGAAGGCGTTGAAATACACGTGTTGAATGAATATAAAAAAAAGGAGATGTGATAATGACTACGTTTTCTTCTACACCATAATCGAACGAGATAAAGGGCGAGAGACTGCTGCTAGGGAGAAATGGATTATGTTGAGTACGGTTAGAGATTGAGGTAGCAAGGTCTTGCAGTTGATGAAGTCCTGGTGAGAGACTCATAATAGATATCTGAAGTGCAGATAATATTTTTGAAATAAACATATTTATCATAAAATGCTTATTAACAAGAAGCTAAATTTACCGCCTGTTTGTGTAATGCCATTGCCTTCGACTAATACTGGTATACATCCATCGTCTGCCATGGTGAGATGTACATCAAGGTTATCTCTTGTAAAATGGTACATTGTTGCTTTTAGAGCTGTCTTTCCGGATCCAATGAATGATTTTGTAACCACGTCTGCGTTTTCTAAAACAAACAGAGAAACGGTAGCTATACTTAAAGCTATAAAAATATTAAAATACAGTCTGATTGTTTGTGTTAATCTAGTTGCTGATTCACACAAAACGCTGTATCACATGTTACACATATGATTAGGGTTACACGGGATGCTCATTTTCTAAATCTCGCTTTTATGGTATTTTTTTTCCAACTTCCCACCTTTACCCCTATATCCAACATCTCAAAAGCCTGCCATCCCCTTATATTTGTACGACTTTGCCCCCAACAGAGCTATAGAAAAACAGTACATTAATGGGTGTAACACGGACACTTTTTAGATGATACACGGACACATTTTAGTTGTTACACGGACACTTTTTATGAATAGAATCACTCGTGCATGATCAGTGAGTTCATGGGCACTTTAAGTTTCAATTAGATTTGAACTTTTTGTTTCACCGACATATTTCCTGTCTTAAAAATATTTACGTTGGCATCAATAACTATATTTTTAACTATAACAATTCCAGTAACTATTCATATTAGTACACTAAGGGGTTGACCATTTAACTTCAAAAGGCCGCGGTAATGTTTTTTTCCTAAAAAAAAAACATTTTGATCCCCAATTTTATGAGAAAAAATATATAATAGTCAAGCAGATGACACTGAAAATAATGTTCTGACTCCTGATTTTCCGAATACCGTATATAATAATGCTGATTTCGAAAAAAAAATATTTGGGCTGTAGCGTTGTTAAACTAAACAATTTTCTTACGCAGAAAAGAACACACCCCCTTTTGAAGCTAAATGGTCGGTCCGTAAATGTATTTTTTTTTCAATATATGGACATGAATAGTATCCTGGACAAAGCTGAAAGAAATGCTGGTACCAACGTTTATATTTCATTAAAAAGACAGGAAATATATATGTATATAAATCAAATCTAATCAAAAGATAAAATCCCTATCAACTCACCAATGCATGATTGATCCTATAAATAAAGTGTCCGTGTAATACATGCTCAAATATGCAGCAAATCGTGAAGAAAATCATTCAACTTATGTCATCAATTTTGGACGGTAAGCTCTGATTGGATCATATAGTGACACGTGTTCAATCCTGATCAACACTATCAGAGACATATAAAAACCTATAAGCATGAACATTTTTTTTTTAATTCAAAACATATGGCTATATATATATATCTAATAACAAGACATGGACATGGCATATCCTGCATTTTTTCAACAAAAAAAGGATGAAGTCTGTTTATTTTAAATTTATTTTAACACCCTTCCCCCCCCCCCCCCCCAATAAAATCAAATGGTAGCTTGCTTACCTCTGAAATCTTTTTTATACATTACTTACTTGCGATGTTGCATTTCATAAAGTCTCAAATGTGTATAACATTCACCTTTAACTTGAAATGGTTCTTTTCATAAAGTTATTAGATTCTTGAATTTTTTTAGAAAAAACTCTCGGCTGAAGGGAAGTGAGAAAAAAATTGAGTTTAAACTGTAACTTACATTAACTGGTATATGGCCATTTAAGTTTCTAATATCTTTAGTTTTGCTACCTCTTCTAAATGCAAAATGTACATCTTCCTTCTTGAAACGTCGTACAAGTCAGATACAAAACAAAGGTAACAAAAAAACAGGCCGGAAACAACCTGCCGTATAGTTTGTCTGCACTTGTAGTCAGGTCAAGGTCCTCGGCTATCGCCTCGGACCTTGACCTGACTACTCGTGCAGAAAAACTATCCGGCAACGGTTGTTACCGGCCTGTTTCTTTGTTACCTTTGTATTGTATCTAATACATAATGAGTTGTAGAATGCAGTTATTTCATGTACTGAATAAATGAAATTATGAGCATTCAAACATTTAAACGAACTAAGTCTCGAAAAACAACTTATATCTTACTTGGGATACAACTTGGCTCAGAGCTCGATACATTCATCTTAATACATGCGCCACCTTTGATAACATACTGCAGACCCTATAACAAACAAGTGCAATATAGCCGACTATAATATTTTAAAAAATATGTAAAATAGTTACCAAAACATGAAAATAGAAAAATTATGATTAGTAGAAAGCATTTTCCATTGCATGCGAAATTGAAGATTATAAGAAAACGTACAAGTGGAATTGTTTTAGAAGATCACAGTATAATTGCGTTTTTATGCAATATGGCATTATGTTTTCTTTAATATTTTTTATATCTCCAAGTCATATAATCAATAGACTTCCTACAATACAAATATATCAAAGGAAGAGTGACATTCTGTATTATTCAAAGTTACAAGTTACAACGCGAAAGCATACTTTAAAGCTCCGGTGGTCAATCTGAAAAAGATTTTTGAGATTTTGCATTAAAATCTTTTAATTTGCAAATTCGAAAAGGCAATTTCTCTGTATAATCATATGTCCTCGAACTAAGGTAATAGGAAAGATTTTCATCAAGAAAATATGTTCAATGAATTTCAAATCACAAACTACTGCTACAAGTGAAGTAATCCACTTTGTCTTGATATTATAGGGCAAAATTCCCACCATTTTCTATAACCAAATGAAATAAGCAACATTGACCTCAACCTTTTTCCATTTATTCGGTAACTCTTCATGGTCCTTTCTTCTTGTCGTTTTTTTTTTATATACTTATAAAGTATTGTTATTTTCTTTTTACATATTCATTTCGTTTGATGTTTCTTTTCAACGACTTACTGTGCTAAAGTCCTGATAAACTTGTTGTAAATATTCAGGTCCACCATTAAGGCTTATAGTTTGATTTACATATACTTTCCTAATTGTTTCATCGACAACTGTGTCCTGGGACATCTGTATAAAAAGGCAGATTTAAGTATTTGAATTTTGAATATTAAGAAAAATAGATAACACTTAACACTTAAATATGGCTCTTAAGGAAAAAACGACAGAAAGAAAGTACGATATGAAAATTAAGACACTAATGATACGTGACCACTTAACTGAATTTAATTCACAGACACGACCAAAAAAGCTGATGATTTTAGGAATCAACAAAAAATAATATGGTAAAGAACAAAATTAGTCAAAGAACGTAAGAAATAATCAAACTTTTAAGGTAGTCAAAAGTTATATCAATAACACCTTGAACATCAATAGCACACAAAATATTACACAGAAATTAATCATTAAATAGAATATTGATTATTCATAAATAATATTATTTAGTTTGCATTTTAGACATATGTTTCATAGATATGAAACACGAAAATTTAGCGTGCTAGTTTTATTGAACTCGATGCATACCTGGACATGGAAAAGAGAGACGAAAGATACCAAAAAAGTGCCTGCTAGCATGGATCCCCTCACATATCATAATTGTCTACTTTTTACTTATTTTATTGTTTTGCAGTTGTACTGCAAATACGTTGCCCTGTATATGTCTTTTGGTTTTGTTTAACATTGGGTTGCCGTCCCAATGACGAATACCCAAACTCTCCTTTTATTCATATGAATAAATAATGACAAAATTTTCTTTTTCTTTCTCCTTTTTAACAAACTACACAATGTGAGGATATTCTTATGCCGCCAATATCTTATTTTGAATATTTTCAAATAAATTAAAACTTACTTGAGTATGATAGTCTCGTCCATCAACTGTTTTTGTATTTGAATCAATATATACATTCCCCCTCCATTGTTTCGGAGGACAGCATGATAGTACTAAGGCAGGTAAAGCCAGGAGTAGGATGTTCTCGAACATTTAGAATCCTTTGAACACAGTCACTTTAACTATAAGATTTATAAACAGTGTAATTGTAAACATTTTCATATCAATTTCTACTGACTAACGTGATAAAGCATGCAAATAGTTCTGATTTCAACCTTGTACGCTTATCTGGGATTTTGCTTTTTATTTTGTTTAAGAAACCAAGTTTTCAACTCACTCAGGCAAAGTACACCTTAGATGGATTTGGCTATTTTAAGTCCTTTTTTGGTCATATAACTCTTCAAGTGTTTCGGTTCTTGTTCATCCTTGGTTTTTAATTATTCGGCTTTGAGCGTATCTGATTAAGGTATATATAGAACAGTGCTTCGGACGCATGAATTTTATAACGTGTTTTTCTACTTCATCGGAATTTGCTGAATGAACGAAATATATCTCGGAATTTTGATTATAAAAGATTTATATTTATATACTTGCAAATTAATTAAGGGGCCATGAGACTATTTGTAAAGTGTTTACTTAAGATTGCTGTCATTACAGGGTATTCACTTGTGAACCAAATTTATAGATATAACTGAAACATGCATTTTATTTTGAAACATTGAGATGACTCAGACTTTTCGGCAAAAAATCACCACTTCAAAGGATAGTTACATGGTTATGTTTTCCACATACAATGGTAGAGTAGAACAGATGACTACAAGTTGCTGTAGCATGTCCAACACTTGAATCCATTAGAGATAAGATGCTCGAGATCAGATGATACCTACCAACTGTTCTCTAATACACAATCTTTAATCAGTGATTGTTTTGATCCTGTATCTAGCTATAAAACAGGGTGGTGTACACTATTTGGTTTTCCCTATTAATCATATATTTTTATTTACAACATTACAATTGTAAACTTCAATCTCATGAGTTGTATTGTATAATCGTCGAAGAAGTAGCTTTTAAGACATTTCAGAATAATTTAGTTTTGGATGTAACACGTCTTCTGATTGGCTGAAAGATTTTTGTTTATCAGCTCATAGACATCATTTTGTCATGTGCTAAATTATAAGGACTGACTATAATATTTTTCTGTCTATTCGAAATAACCTCAAAAATATGGTGTACACTTTTAAATAACCCACTACGCTTGTTATTGATTCTTAATCTTTGATGAATAATAATTGAAGGTAGTTTTTGCGGAATACATCTTTTATTTTCGTTCTTTATCTTTCGTACAAATACTATTGGCTTCTATACCTTTGAATGAAATCTTTCTGCAGACAACTGCTTAGAATTCATCTTTTTTTCCATTTTATGATTAAAAACACAGGACTATAATGATAATTTAAAAAAATAGGGAGATGTGTAATGATTGTCAATGAGACAACTATCAACAAGAGACCAAAGGACCAAGGGACAACGATGTTAAAAACAGTCATCAATAATGAGCAAAACCCATACTGTCAAATATTAGATACAATTTATTATAACGCATTTACAGAGATTAAAAAAATTCATTGATTAGAAAAACCGAAAAAATAAATAGTAAACTAAAGAATAATACAATAATAGAGCATGGCGAATACTGTTATTTTTGACGTGCATATACATAATCTTACGGTATATATACATCCCGCCATTATGGTATTGTGCTTTAGTTTCTTTTTGGATTCTTGTCTTTCATTTTTACTGATGTGCTTTTCTATAGCGTGTTTATATGCCATTTTGCTTTTCTTTGTTGACATAATTTTTGGTTTTTATAGTGATTAAGATTATAACACAATGTTGACTGCTGTACCCCAACTTTTGACATTTTTACCTATTATGTCTGTTTGTTTGGCTCACACATTGTTGTCAATATAATGGAATTGTATACGACTGTCATACAAGTGAGAGGTTTAACTAGCCAGGTTTAATCCACCATTTTCTACATAAGGAAATGCCTGTACCAAGTCAGGAATATGACAGTTGTTTTCTACTCGTTTGATGTGTATGAGCTTTTAATTTTCCCATTTGATAAGGGACCTTCCGTTTTGAATTTTTCTTGGAGTCTGGTATTTTTGTTATTTTTCTTTTTATATCTGATAACATTAGCTGTACCAATTGTACTGTATCAGATGCGCATTTCGACTATTGATGTCTCTATATATAGTTATGCACAAGGCAAAATATTTGAAAATCCAAAACCTCATTTAGACGTTGAAGAGCTGACAAAATCAAAATAGGACCAACAGTGAAGTCATACCTGGAACAGCAGAAATGTGTTTCTTTCTGAGTACTTTCTCTTTTCTTGTATCTTTTTCCGAAGATCGCTCTTTGCTTTTTCCTCCGAGCCAGATGAACATTAAATTTACATATAAAGACAGAAAGTAGATGTGAGATAAACATCAACTACAAATAACCAAAGACATCTAAAACCTATAACTTTACCGTCAATCTTACCAAACCTGATAACCTAAATCTTAGCCTTAGGCTGACAACTCATAAGACATAAAATATGGGTTTTCTTTACATGTTAAAACATTGGTATCTACAATGTAACTCTTATGTATAAGCATTCGTGTTCAACCCAATTAATGAAAAGGGATACAATTGGGTGGCAATTCTCCAATGGAGTATATTGAAGTTGTACAAAGAACCTTTGCTTCAATCAATAAAATTATGTTGTGTGCATTATAATTTTGCAAAAAAACGGACAAGTATAAGAAAATATTTGAAACTTCTTCAAGTAGATATGTCATACTGCAAAGTATTTAAGATATTTCAAATATACATGTGCAATATGAATTTACACATACACGTCTATGCACATATATTATCCTCAGCCTGCTGCACTAAGACATTTGTTATGTATTGTGCTAGATAAATAATACCAGAAACACATACTTGTTATAAGAATGTGAAACGAATGTGTTAACAACAATACGATACGAAGTTTATGTGGTAAGTTTGTTTTTTCTTAATATATTAAAATTCAATTATTCTTGTATTATTGGTAGTGGCACTATTCAGCTACACTTGAAATGATAATCAATCTACACACATTGTTTTCATTAATGTGATGGATAGGTAAAAATGACACCATAGATGTAATAATTACAAAAAGGATAAAGATTTATGATTACACATAAGTTTTCTTCAAGTTGGATAGAGAAAATATGAAGAATTAAAAGTGGATAATAATTTAACCTTTTCAATTATATACAAATCATTCTGTTCTAAATTGTTAATGTCGGAAAATGCTGGTTTGCAACTGCAATTTTCGTTGAAACACGTAAAAAAATGCAAAAGAAAAAACGACGACAAGAATTTATGATTTACACTAAACTTAATCTTATTTGCGTTCTTTTAGGTTTTATCTCTCCTTCTCTGACCTAGAACTATGTCGACAAAGACAGACCTACAGGCGTTCGCCTCCTTAGTTACTCGAAACGATACCGAGGGATGCAAAGAAAAACTTCTATCATCACAAGACAACACTAAAGAAAAACTAGTAAACGCAAGGATAAAAGGCTTTAAAACTGTCCTGCATATGGCTGCTGATCAGAAAGTTGTACCTGAAATATGGAACTTAATTTTACCATATGCAGCTAAAATTAATTTGTACGAAAGTTTTAAAAGTCCTCTTCAAAAAATTATTCCCTATGCAGATCCAGAACAGAACAATAAATGCTTCACATTAGGTTTTCTCCGACCATACTATCAATTCAATAAGATAAGAAGCTGGTTAGAAATGACAAAATATGAGACTAGCCGGAAAGTAAACACTTACAGAAATCATTTCCTGTGTAAACTTTGTCGACTTCGAGGAAGTGATGAAGTTGGCAATATTTCAAATATCGATATCATAGAATTCGCCAGGGATCTGATACAAACGTATAATACCGACCCAAATGGCGACAGTGAACATCGACCTCTACTTTGGGCCATGGAAACAGCTAATTTCCCTCTACTATCTTTGTTTCTGTCTTTCGGAGCAGATGCAAATTGTAGAGATGATGATGACTTTACACCTTTGTTATACTCCCATTGTTTACATGGAAGTGATGCAAGTCTCGATATAGTGCTGTTGTTAGTTAAACATAATGCAGATATAAATATATCGGAGCCGCAAGGA